ATTAGCAGGTCTTCATTGTAAGCAAGACTCCCACTGTTGGACTCAGAACCCAGAAAGTAAGTGAAACAGGACTGTCATTGACTGTCATGGATTTGAAATCAGTGCCTAGGCGTTTCTAACAGTTAAACCCTTATAAATAATTTGGTTGCTATAAAGTCAAGTTGTAGCTGAAAAAAAGTTTTGAACACGGGGCTCACACATTGTCTGTCCTATCAGAAATAGCACACAAATATCCAACAGAAAGCCTACACACCATGTCTTACATTCCTATTAAAAGCTAAAGTGTTCCTGTAACATGCAACAGAACATAGCTAATCCTTGCATCCTAAAATATATATACATAAAGTAAACTTTCCAAAAGCAAAGCTGCAGAAAGATGTGACTAAATATAACCATGAGACTGTAAGAACTAGGCCCTGCACACAGACTAAATCCTCCTGTCTCTTATTGCAGCAACAAGAACAAACCAAGACTGTATAGTTATAAGTGAGTAACCAGGCTCTATCTGTTTTTCACATGTTTTTACATGTGAATAGTAATAGTTATGTGACACCAATAGCAGTGTGTCATTCTGTCATGCAATTAATGTGCAAATAGCAAAGATGCATTTATTTTAGTATTCTGCATATATTCCTCAGCTCTCTAACATCTTCTGGTCTTCCTATAGGATAACTGGTATTTTTTCTAGCAAAAAGATAATGGATATGGATTCACTGAGAGGAAAACATAGCACCTGGATAATGGCCCCTTTTCCTACTGCTTATGCAATACATATGCCATCTCTATTTTGGGAGGCTCAGAAATGGGAGGGAGAAGATACTGTATCTGACAAGTTTCAACAGTTTTCCCCCTAAATTAAAATGAAATATTCACTTGTTAATTATCCACACCCTTTTTGCATAGCCACCTTCATTTTCATCAAAAATAAAAAGCTAAAGGGTAAGAAAACTGTTTACAGCAAAACCCAGTAGTTAAGAGCAAGCATCAGGACCTGATTTCTACCTGTGTTCAGCATTCCCTTTGTTGCTGCTCAACATTCTTCGCTCAGTACTGACTAACACTACATTGTATAAAACAACAATACTGTACTCCCATTAGAGGTTTTATAAGAAATAATCTGTGAAAATCATCTTTAGCGTACAGAAAAGAAAAAGGTCAATTTAAAACATTTTCACAACACTTACGGCAATTTGTCTCCATTACTGGGAAGGAAAGCTTTGCCCAAATTTTTCTTTGATTCTGCCAATCTATAGCGTCTCCTTAGCTGAACAGGGTTTGAGTAGGCTTCACCATCGAAAATCCTCACAAACTGAGGCTCAAAATAACCTGCCTGCAGAGCTGACAATGTTTTGGTCCCCCCAGGTAACATCTGTCTGTTCTTGCTCGCAGCTTCGTTAAAAGGGCCTTTAAAAAAGTAAGCACTGTAAATAGCTGTTCAATGTTAGTGCTTCTCTTAGCCTACATTAAAAAACTAAGGCCTGGATCTGGGTGGCTCAAAGAATGTACTACAGAGCATTTAACTTGTAAATCATGCATGTAAATGGTTGTACCTGAAAGACAATGCTATGAGAAGGCATTTACAGCACCTAGTTTTAGTTTTCTAACCCCTGCAACTTGCTTTACAGGCAACAGAAAGAGATTGGTTACCCCAGACTACAATTCAGAGCTAGAGCCAATACCTACTTATATACTACGAGGAATACTTTGGGGGAGTAGCGCTCTCTCCCCGATTACAGAGCACGTAGAGTAGCTTAAGCGCCTCCAGTTGGGTTTTGAATCCCCAGCAGCTCAGTGTGGCACAAGTGTATCAGCCAGGGTTCTGGTGGACACGTTCACTGATACAACACCACAGCAGAAATGTCTGTATTGCGAAGCCAGGATTATTTTGCATTATCAATTCAAAGCTGCTATCGAGGGTTAACCTCTGTAACCTCACTAATTACAAAAATCACCTTTCTCAATGAGTATTTCCATTAAACAACAAGAAAAAGAAAATATTCTTTTAAAAGAGAGGATGGGGAATCTCACACACATGAGTCAGATCAGAACAGAAAAAAAAGTGCAACAGCAGTTTAAAAATAATGACAACGTAATTGTCAGTAATGGAACACCTGCCGGAAGAGCACACAAAAACCACTATTGTTTTTCACAAAAGCAGGAAAATACTGGTAACTTGCAGATAATTAATATTAAAAAGAAATGTATAGGCTAGAATATTTTATCAGCCTATTATGCATACGTATTTTTCAGTTTTACTGGATTTTTCCTTTCTTCGATACATTCATTACAACATACCAAGCCTTTGTCTTAATAATACAGACCCAAGCAAAGAATATGCATGAAGAAGCAGTTCCCTCTAACAAAAAACAAACCAAACCAAAACAAAAAAACATTAGGAAATAGTGATTCTGAAAGTAGATGGATACTAGAGGTGGTCCCTATCACTCAATAGTGATTAAAGTGAAATGTACTTACGCATATAATGTGACACATATTTATCTCCAATGGTGACATAACCCATTTCACTGAAGAGGCCAATCCTCTCCATATCACTTTTCCCTTCCGCAGGCATGGCTGGATCTGTGTGACAGTGCACTGCACTAAGAGGGTTGAAGTATCTCTGTTTATTTGTTCTACTGCAAAATTCTATAAGCAGTCCACACCTGTAAACAAAAAGTTTATTTAAGTAAAACGCAAGAATTTTTGGTTAAAAATATTAGCAATACATGTAATCTAAAGAAAGTAATCTACAACATGATTGACAGCTTTGGTGCTTATAGGACAAATGCACTATGTGGGATTTGGACACCATTGTATCTCCTCTGTTTAAACAAATTCAAAACATGAGCAGAGAGAGAAAATCAAATGCATTTGTAGTACAAGTGATGCAACTCTTACTGAACGTACATAGTTTGGGTCAAAATTTGTAACGGGTATCTTCAGAGTAGTAAGATGAGAGGTTTTGGTGGCATTAACAGCTAGTAATGAAACATGCTGAGCAGCCTCCTCCTTCATCTTGTGGGTTATCTCCAGCAATCATTTTCAGTCACTTTCTAATAATGGTAGAGAAGATCAGTGTATGGACAAATCTGGGGTAAAACATAAAAGTGGAATTTTGGAAGCCCTCTAACTAATCCAAGAGCTGGTCATGGTAAATAGGTCCCATTTCTTCTTGGTTTTAATCCAAATGATTTACAGTAAATGCTAGTTTATCCTCATCATCACACTGACAGAACTAAGGAAAATGCCTAGTCAACACGTGTAAGGAACTCAAGGGCTTGAACAGAGAGCAGGCTTAGCACTAAGATTATCAGGGATCTGATTCCCAGAGTGAAAACTAGCAGAGACGGGCATCAGAGTCAGCTAGAGGAAGAACTGCCTTGAGGAGGAAGATAACAAGATATGGTAAGTTCACCAGGAATGGAAATTAAGGTAGAAGAAATTGGTTAATATGTTAGGAAAGCTATTTTTTGAAAGTCATGAAATGTAAGAATTATCAGAAAAATCAAGGCTATGCAAACAAATAGGTGAAGTATCTGTGTCCACTCAGCTCAGAAGAGAGCAGGGCAGTTGAGACATTAGGGCACGATACAGATTAAAGACGATGTAGACCAAGTCCCGTGCTGGTATTAACTATGGGGGCAAAGGCAAGATGGAAGATAGGAATGAAAATAACTGAGGCAGCAGAAAACTCTGAGAGATTAATCTCACGTGTTAGCTCCATCTGGCATGCGGGTGCAGAGCAGAAAAGCAGCAGCAACAGCAGCACAGTAGTGGAAATCTATATAGTAATATAATTTTATATATATTATGAAAATAATATGCTGGAACACGGTCTATGACAGGAAGGGCTGGCCACATTTTGCTTACGCTCAGCACACAGGATGGACAGCATGCAGAAGTTTTAAAAAGTTTGAAGCAATTTTTTTTTT